ATAGATCTGGGATAAGCGTTCTACATTTGTTATAGTAAAACTGAAGAGAAAAACCTGACTAAGCTATAAAAGTTTCATAAGAGTGGACATTGTGACCGTTCCAATATTAAGGCCAGCTCCGATGGTACGTGAGCGATGGACCGATGTATGTGTGTGAGTGTAGTTCGCACGATAAAGCCTGGACGGTCGCTTAACATGCACGTCAATTGCAGTACGATCCGAGAGACCGTGACCCGCTTTCGTCTATTTTTTCAGCCCATAACAGATTGGCTTTCCTATCGAAAAAATGTGTGCATTTGATTTTAGAGTTCGCTGAATTTAGGTGAGACTTAAAAGACGTTAACATATTTTATACTATGTGATAGGCACGTGGGTAAATTAACATTTAAGATTGTCTGTAAGTAGAAAAATCTGCATGTAATGACTTATAAGTAGTCATTATTAGGTAGCCTCATATTTATCGACGGAGACCAATCACTTATATATACTAGTTTGCAAACATGTAACTGTCATCCAAAGTTTTCAATTTTTGCGTGTTATTGTTTTAATGGTATACATTCTGATGACGTCACTTCATTAGCAAAGAATGACAGAACTACTAGTGCGCGACTTACGCTTGATCAATTTTCCATTTTGTTAAAGTTATTGAATTTCTAACGATTGTATGAACGACCCACATATTGTACCGCTTAATAAATTCATCGATGGGAATATGGTGATTTATTCCATTTTTTCATTTGTTTCACATGAAGCTTTTGTGTAATACTTTAATTTGTTGTATTTTGATAAGATTGAGGTCGTTGTTTGACAAATTCCGGTCAACATTTTGCCTTGTTTTTTTTTTAAAGTAATATTTATCCTCTTTATTTTTCTGAACCATTTCGTAAATTAGGTAATACCGCTTTCAAAGTATTTTATAGGTATTTTTACATCAAACCCAAGTTGTAGGTCTCGTGTTAGCTAAAATCTGTACAAGAATGATTAGAATAAACATTAGTCATACATGCGCCGGCTTTTGCAACGAACTGACTCATCAAAAGGTCGCAGGTAGCGAAGGTTCACTATACTGTAACCAATGATGAGATTCAAATCCAGTTTCGATTTGAGTACTAATATCTTTATTATCCTTTTGTTGCTGGCGTTTTTAACAAAATAATTTGATTTTAAATTATCTTTTTTTGAGGTACCTACATCATCCATCGCAAAAGCTACCGCACTGCTTATTATATTTTCGTCTTTGTTATAACATATTTGAGTTCTAAATGCAATAAAGACATTTAGTAGTTTAATTTGTTCGTCTGCCCCAACATTGTGGTACTTAGTGTGCGATGATGTTATGTTTGGCAAAAATCAAAATTCTAAGTCTTCTACAATCATTATTTAATGTGTTTAATACGATTCTCGATTTTCGTCTTTAAATAAATACAATACAGTTCAAAATCGAATAAAGAGAGAATAGAAAAGAGTAGGTTATCCTGAACTCACCAAAGACCATTAATCATTTCTACCCACACCATATTAAAAACCTATTTTGTCACGTTTCACGTTTCGAATTCCTGTTGACATTTGCGTGTCTATGGGAAAAAGGATAACAGATCGTGATACTAACAAAAAAAAAAAAAATTTGTTAATGTATAGATTTTAAAAAAAGAATCGATTTTCGGAATGTTTATAGTGATACACTTTTTGGATTTCCGTCTCATAGTAGTCAGATAGAAAATGCCGACTTCATCTACTTTTTTATATATAATTTTGTCGTGTGAAGTGATTTTTTATGGCTTACTTGCAAAAATAAATTCATTGTAAACGATATTATTTATATTTTAAATAGAGATGTGGGTATGCTATGCGATACTGTTTGCAATTTATACCTTATTGTGTTATAATATGTTTCTTTTTTGTGTACAGGTAAGAATTGATGCGGTTTCATCAGGGGGTAAGCTAAGTAGTGCACGATTGTTAAACGTTTGCACCATTTTTTTAATCTCACATGTACGCTCAAAAATATTGATAAATATTCTAATTAGTTCTGGAAACGATTTTGAGATTTATAACGCTGTGTAATAAGATTGAAAGTGTTTTGAATAAATTTGACTGCTTTGGAGCAACTTTAATGTGCTGCAGTCTGTTATAATAAAATAATAATAATTGATTTTAATTAAAATGTATTTTTAAATCGCCATAATACTGAAATCATAAGTATTTGATATACTTAGAGAAAATTGTGATGAATGTATTTAAAAAACTGTCTTCATTACCTGCTCGTTTTTTCGTGTGCCTACATATTATACTTGTTTTCTTTAACCAATATTTGAGCGTACGTGTGATGCTACACATGGCTATTTACGTGTTTTTATTGCGCGTTTTTATATTTTTTTAGTGAAGTGTTTGGTATAAGTACCCGGATTATATATTTCACTCGAAAATATAAATAACATTTTATTCACTACGATATTACTGTACCGATTGTCACATCAATCGTTCTAAAAAAATACAAAACAATATTTTACCTTTACTTTTTTTTGTTATTTTTTTTTAATAACTTTCTAAACACGCGGATTTTCTCCTGTGTCTTGGGTGCATTTACAAACATACAATTTCGCATACACATGATATCCAGACCCGGAAAAACATTTGTGAGTTGTTCCGTGCGGGAATCGAAACCGCGACACGTTGCACGGCAGCCGCCGTACCAACCGTGCAGTCGAAGTCTTTTACTAGTCATACACCCAAGAGTTGATGAAAAAAGAGTAGACTGTAGATATCTTAGGCAAGCCGGTTACAATAATTTAGTCGCTACAAACAATTTATATAGAATCTTATAAAAAAACTTAAGAAGATACTATGCTAAGTTATTTTTGGGCACCTAGTTCTAAATGTTAAAAATATTCGCAACCTGCTTACCGTTTCATTGGATATTGAGATTAATTCAAATACTTATTTATCATTTATTTATTTTTTATTTATATCATGATATTTTATTTAATATTCTGTGTGTTGTGGATTATGATGCTTGTTGTACTTCCATAGCCATAATATTCCGACGTTGGGTAAAATGCGGATACAATTAATTATTATACTTAATTCGTGTTATGAAAACACACTACAATGTGACCTTTTCGGATGTCAAGAATCTATTACTACCGTCCAACAAATCCAAATGCATCCTAAGCGATATTAAAAAGTTAAAATGATATGTAGGTATTGATATTTATCTAATTCTATTGTGTTTTTTCTTGTTCTCAAGATACTTGTTGTGGCATAATATTGCTTATTTTTCTATCATATGATGTCACCCTATCATAAATTTCTGCCTTATACAGTCTACCCACTTTTTAACAGTTCTCTACCTATCGTCTGTTCCACTGTTCCCACACTTGTACACGTTGTAAGAGGACTGACCAACAGACTGATACTATATCTTCAAAATTTTGTTTGACGTACAAAAGTGTCTGTAACTGTTTTGACTTTGACTTTGACTATAATTCTTTCCGCGTAGTTTTGCTCACTGTACATATCATGTTTTTCATCTCCTTTTTATTAAATGTCCTTTTTAATAGAAGTGACTAGTAGTTTAAGGTTTTTCTGTGACTGCTGCCATGTTCCAAGTTCCTCGTCATTGTTATTATATCAATGACAAGAGGTATTCTGGTTGAATATAAAAGCTTTTTCTAATGATTTCTTACCTAGCCGGCTGGTTGGTTCCTCTGATATTAATTTACCGCGTCATTTCTTGATTATTTATAAAACCTTCTTGCTCTAACACCAGCACAGCAAAATATCGGAATCTTAAATATTTTGTTAAAAACATTTGCGACTTTGCTACAAAAAGGTAAGGTTTAAAATATGGTAACTACGCTCAACGGGCTGCGTTGCTTAATGTGCTTGTGTGTAGTATTTGTGGTCGTAAGCATGACATTCTTGATGTCGTCCGTCGTAAGTATGTGTGTGTGTGTGTTTAAAATAAATCACAAATATTTATTTATGATGAAGTTCCTCGCATTTCTGTGTTTTGAATGTAGATAATGCATGTTGCTGGTTATTTCTATCTAAATCCTTACGTCAACAAAATTTTCCTAAGTGACTACGAAAATTGTATTTGATGAGAAATAAATAAAGTTTGAAAAATTTTTCATTTGAGGTTTTATTTCTCACATGTCAATCAAAAAGACGAGAATATCAGTCGCCTGTTTACTAAATCCGTGTAGTCGACGAGAATGACAACAAGCATGAAGTTTGCTACCCGACCGTAGTAATATTACTTCAACCAAATACATTCTGAATGGAACGCTGTACTATACAATTAAATATAAGTCTTAACACAATCGACACATAGCTTAAATTTGTACGTACGTTGCCAATAATTGTGAGACAGGAATGCAATTTTAAAAAGTTGACATAGTGTTGCGCTGACCTTGTCGATTCGTCGCGTCGTCGTGCAGTTTTGATAGCAAAAACGGTTATGACTAACGGATGGCCATGAAACACTTGTCTTGCTTGCTACGTCTGATTGTTACCGTTGTAATGCACATAGCGAATTTTCTTTGAAAAAACGACACATATTTCAAACTATGTAAACACATTATATTTCAAAAACCTCATTGTTGTTACTTTACAATATTTACTCTTAATACATAGATATTTCACGTCTTCTCAATAGTTTTGAGGCGAAACTCGCTTTCAAACATTCTCGTTTTATTTTCACCAACATTTAAACTAAATTCTCTTCACGTTCGTGCCAATCTTAAAGATAACACAAAATGTAGGTGTTCGTATATATTTACAAAGACGAGCTGAGAAACGCGTGGGATCGAACCGCGACACGAGGATATCCCGTTCCATCCAACTTCCTACCTCACACACGTAATCTGCATCTCACAAAACTAAAATAGTCAACAATACTAAATAAACAAACAATAAAAATTCGAGGAATAAGTTTAATGCAAAGAAATATGAAAAACGTGACACATATAGGTATTTATTTCGACAACACAATACAATTAATAATACTCTAAAACACTGTAATGCCCTGCATCCAAGTAACCAGAAAACAGGAGATGTTTCACGTTCCGTCCTCTGCCGTAGTCTATAGTTCTTGGACAAGAGTCTCTGTGGACTTTGAAAGTGTATTCTGGGTATAACTCAGTGACGCAGTGCAGCTCAACATGACCGGCGTACTCGCCATCCGTCGACATCAACCTTCGGTAATCAGCCGCAGTATACATATTGAACCCATACGACCGGTCCCCGATTATAAAATCCTTGTACCGATGCCAGTGGTTCACAATCCGATCCACTACGCTGAGTCGAATCTCTCTATGGCGCTCCTGAGTTCCATAAATACAGAAAGAAACAGAACGGAATAAACAGTTTCCATCTCCGCGTATTGGTACTACCCTTCTTGCCATTCTCCTCTTCTTCCTCTTCCTAGGCGAATTTCTTCGCGACTGCCTCCGATCGATATTGCGATGGTATCGACTCATTGGTTATACTCCACATCACTAGTCCCGGTTGTCAAAAGATGGCGGCCGCAGATTTCGCCGGCCGGTTGTTGTTGGAGCCTCCTCCACTGGAGACACCACGTGTACGACTAATGAATTTTAAGAGATTTAATTTTTTAATTTCTATTTTATACATATAATTTTCTCAGCCATATTGAAGATCAAAATATTTTCATTAGATTTTGACACTTTAATATTTTCGTTTTATTTTTCTACAGTGACGTTATTGACTGACAGTCTTCCGTAATGATTAATTATGTCAGAATTGAAACTGATTCATAATGTCCGTCATAGCTTAAAAATGTCAACAGACATCGCGCCGAGCAAGACGAAAGAGGAAAATGTCCAAACGAATTGCCTGCTTCGAGTGGTTATGGGTTTATATACAAATTGTAACATTTCCTGTGGAGCTCTATCTATTTTTCTATGTAGGTGTGTAAATCACGTCAAGATTTTTAACCTGTAACTTCATCACAACACTCTTAATTTATATGAGTACGGACTGGTGTACGTGTCATGTTCGTAAACGGACGCCGCCTATTGGGACTGGTCAACTCAAGACTGTCTAAAGTTGCTGTCCCTGAGGTTCATTTCTTTTTTGGATCCTTTGGTTAAACACTATTGTTACACTCTTCTCACATAATGGAACTATCTAAATTATGTAACAATGCATTGTAAAAAGTGATTGAAAAAAAGTAACAATGGAGTTTCTTGTTCGTTCTTCTCCATAGGAATCTACACTTTGGAACGAGCAAATAGCTTCACTAGAGGACAGACGGACAGACTGACACATATAAAGTTAAACCTTATGATATCATTTTTGCTTGACGTTCAAAAGTGCCTTTTGTGGTCTACTTGAAATAAAGAATTTGATTTGATTTGATGATGAAAACGTTGAAATTATTCATTTTTTGTTATTTGATCAACGATTGAGAACAGAAATCCAACAGGGCCCGATAGCTATGGTACCACTTGAATGATATAGGTTCACTAGCAGGTACGTACGTGTTATGTCGTAAGCTTTATATTGCACTGCAGTGAATGGCTGACTCAACTCTCGAGCGCCGATCTCTCAGCCAGCGAAATCCTCTCAAGACCACTTCGCTAGCAGACCGCAATATTCGGCATACCTATAATGTATGAGTGTAAGTGATCCAACCGGAATATTCAAATTAGCATTGTGATCCAACAGAGCCAGGCGTTGTAAAAACAAAGTCTCCCACGTGATACTGAACAAAACCATACAAGACCAGTCTTTAAATCACCGCAAAATATAATCAATAAAAATATTTTCTCTCAAAGTCAACGCCAAAACAGAGCGACCTTCAACCGCGAATTTACATAGAAATAACTTATTGTTACTCTTATAATAATCGAGCTAGCATTTCATGACGTATATATTAAGTACTATCCATAATAAAGTCGATAAAAGAAAAAAAAAACGATGGGAGGACATTTTAATGGAGTGGCGGCCATTGTACGCGATGGTTTCTATTATTTAATGGGACATTACGCCATAATGTGACATAAGCATCGGCGATTTGAATCAGACGGTGCGTGTGAATGAACTTAGCCACTCAATGTCACTTGCGAAACTGGTCGATATAGATTGACAGTGACCTACCGAGTGGTGATAGTGTCTTCGGCCGGCTTCGGTGTCACTCGGCGCGCCGAATGCCTACGAGTGCAACTTTAAATGCCTGTTCGGGCCGCGTGCTCGGGGGAGGTCGGCTAAACTCGGCCACCCGAACAAACCCGAATTTAAGTTTATTTATTTACTTGGTAAAGTAGTAGATTGGAGCTAGGCTGTGTGAGTAAAATGTATTGGCATTCCTAGCGTGTTGTGTGTGTACAAGTAGATTGATTGCGGGTTGCGGGTATTAGCGTAGAGAAAATATTGATTTAGGGAGCGAAAGTTTTTAGATAGAGCGCCGTAGTAGAATTATTTCTGTGAGGTGTATTGTAATGATACTTACGTCTATTTACAAATAGAATAAAATTGTATCGTAATTACTGCTTGTGACTGTTATGAGGCTCCATAAAACTGTATGCCATATTTTTGTCTGCCTGTTTAAAGTTTCTAATCCACCTCAATATCCTTTACTAAAACAGCTTCAATGTTCTAAAAAAAAGAACCTGATCGCGCCTAGCTAACAAATTACCTCAGATATACACGCTACACCAAAAATAATGATGAGTAGTCCGTAGTCCCCAAACCGGTACGAGTCTCATCTCATTCTGCTCCACGCGAACAGAAAAGGACGGAGTCATCCAACCAGTCCTACGCTTTTGGGTGAACGATGAGGTAATGTCTGGTATTATTTACTACTCGTTCCCATATGGCTTGTGGTCTCTACATTGTATTTAAGGTCAGGTAACATTTGTAGGTCTTTTATATTACAAGGAAATATCACTAAGGCGACTTCAGTACAAAAGCGAGAATTGGGATTCTAATATGCTTCTATTACAGTTAGGAAATGAATAAAAGTATATTTTCCTGAATAATATATTAATTTATTACAACCCCACACTATACTCTAAAAATCCCAGTTTGAATGGGTCTTACCCGTATCTCTTTAACTCCAATACAAACGTTGTTTTTTGCATACAACGATGACCGCACAATCAAAGTAAAGGCATTCCGTACGCCATGAGTCATGGCTGCTAAATATTTATATATTTCGACCGTTGGCGTGTCTCGATAAAAAGTTTAATTTCGTGTTATGAAAAAACATCGCTTATTATCATCGGTTGAGATTTGAATTCAAATTAAACGGCACGATTGTGTTGTATTTTTTTTTTGAAGGGTACAAACTTGTGATTCTGTATTTTGCATGGTAAAATTTCGACGAGATTTAGCTGCTAGGAACGTTTCCAATTATCGGTTTGAGTTCCAACTTGTAGCTCCTATTTCGTTTTGCGAAATTTTCCAAATTGCTATTTCACTGCACCCCGTTGATTGCAACGCTATATCGTATCTGGAGAAGATAGAGTTTCCCTCTTCCGAAACCTTGGAATTTTTCAATCTAGGAGCAATTTACCTGACTCGTGTGTCGAGCCGTGTGGCGTATCGAGTCCGCAATTAGGTCATCCCCTAGACGCCTGTCGTCGTTCCAATTTCCCTCGGTTTGGGAGGCGAGATGTCTGATTGGTGTACGTTTCGCTGGCATGGACTGATGCACACAAAACGAATGTGCACGTATCGCTGGAAACACTCCGCAGAAACGGAACTAACTCGTTTTAAACCAGAAGACCGTAGCAAATTGAACCGAGCCTTTGAAATTTGATTTTGTTACGATCATGACATCTTGAAATATTCTAGTCTAGTCTAAAACACTAACATGCAATTAAAAAAAATCGCAAGGACATTGCATAAAATTTTGGATTAAAAACACTAACGAGGAAGACGCGCATCTAAATTGGAACATCCCATAAAACACGTTGCTACAATGACATAACGACCTACAATTCTGTCGACCCCAAATCGGGACGCGTAATCATCGAAGTGAAAGTATACACGGCATATCACAGTCATCTATTTGTTTGAAGGTCATTGGCATAACGTAGTAACACGTCACGTGTGCCGGCGGCGTGTTATCTCTACACTCGTGTGTGTGTGTGTGTATTATGAAACTGTCTTCGTCTGGGACATAGAGTACCATTTCCTGCTTGTCTGTACTGAAAGTATTATTTCCGCGCTCTGATTGGATAAGCTTGAGCACAGAGTATGACATCTCCAGTTCGATCTCCGGTTATATTATGTTACTGGATTTTGAATTTATTTGTTAGTACGAAGTGACTTGTAAAGTTTTGTTGAATAAAAGTGTGGATGTTTTGCAGATGTTCTAGATTATCTGAATTTTATTGGGTCTGTGATCGTTTTAAATAATATTGAAATAATTAGGGCTCCAGATCGTTGTTGTTGTTTTAAGTTCTGATTGTCTTGGTTCCAAATATTGAAATGAAAGTTTGGCTTCCCAGATTAGAAATGTTTTTCGCCTCAGTGACGTCATTGAAATGGATTCTTTCGTTTCGTTTGTCGTATTGAAGTAAAACAATTGCAATTAGTTTATGGAGTTAAAATAGAGGTTGGCTTGTAGAAGTCGATATAATCTTTGAGTTTGATATTCCTGAGAGAATTATTGGATGATTGTCAAATCTGTTTTTCACAGAATTTTGAGAAGTAATATCCAAATTTACATTATAGAATCAGGCAAGACAAGACGCTCGTATTTATTCACGAAATAAGTGACTAGATATCAAATCCCAAATACAAACAGCTTCAGGGTATGAAAAGCGTGTTATGTTTAGGTTTGGCACTAACGACCTAGTGTTTGCTAGAGACATGATAATGCTATCCAGGTTAAACTAAGCCAACTAACCAGGTTGATAACCTGTTATAATATGGTTTTCGATACCGTGTCTCGTTGACCAGACAGCGTGCTCATTATTTTCTCACAACGTCGACCGTCCTATTTATTTATATTTCCTAGTTTCATGTCACAATATGGGTACCTAAATAAAATGGACAATATTTTGAATACTAAACTTGCTTAAGAACCTAGAGGTATGAAGTTTTTTCGTCTATATTCTTTTAAAGGTGGGAGGACGCCACCACCGCCTCCTTCGATCGGATCCCACATCAAATGTGGGTTATTATAGATTTTTTACGATGGAAATTTTTTGTACAAGAATTAATCACTTGGTCATTTTGTTGCCTAGCCATGTGACGTCTAAATTGGGGCCTAACAACATAGCTGGTCATTCAAAATTTATAGTTATACAAAGCAATTTAATTAGTGTATTGATTTATCTATCATATAGCTTCAATGTAACAAAATATATCGTAAACGTATTCTATGTGAGCATAGCGTACAAGTAAGTATCAACAAAGTAACTTTGTTTTT